ATATTATATATATGCTCATTCATAATCAGTTTTCAATATAGAAAAAGAAAAAGAAAGACTGTGTGAACTTTTGTCGCGTTGTCTATGTGTGTGTGCGCGCGCGTGTGTGTGTGTGTGCGTTAAGTGGATTTCAGGTGTACGTTCCGTGTGTGCCAGTGCATCTGTGTGTGTGTGTGCATAGTTCCAGTTGATATCTGCCAATTGGCATTCCAACTAGACGACCGGCGCATTCTTTGCTGTCATGTGCGAAATTCCTTCACTTGATTAAGCCCGGCGACCCGGTTCGATTTTTTTTTGTTCGGTGCGGTTCGGCTCGATTCGCATCGTTTTCTTTTTTTTTTCGCTCGCTCTCTATCTATCTCTCTCTCCATTGTTTTTTTGTGGTTGTGCTTTTTTTTTTTTTTTTGGGTTCGGTCCTTTTTGCGGTCTCGTGGTCTTTCATCGATTTACGCAGGAATTCGCTGAATTTACGTTTGCTCAATGTCAAATTGGCGTTCGACTCTGGTATGCGATACACAAAATACACTACAAATACAGCTATAGAGTATAAGAGATTCCTCTCCGTTTGCCTCGACTAACCGAAGTGCGAATGTGCTACAAACAAAATCTAAATATAAAAAAAACATAATGTGAAACTTATTTTGATTGTTGGCAAGGAAAAGAAAAAATATGTACATGAAAAAAGATAATATGAAGAAGAAGAAGAAGAGTCAGGTGAAATAGAATTTGTGAACTAGAAAAATATATTTATAAAATACAAAATAAATACAAATAATTTATGTTTACTTCAAAAATAAAAATTATAAAAAAAAAAAAACATAATAATAATCAATAAAATAAAAACATAAAAAAAAAAACTAAAACGAATTTATATTAAAATTACAAACTAAAAAAATAAACCAAAATCTCTCTGATAAGAAGCTAAGTCAATATGCCCCAAGTTAGAGTAAATAAAACAAATGCAACTAGCATTATCATGCGACTCCAATGCAACTAACAAATGCCACAGACTGTTATCGATAACACTTTGTTATCGTCAAGTCTTTTCCCGCTCGCTTTTCTTTCGTTTGGCTACCCTTTATTATAGCTGCGTCTCGCTCGCACTCGGCCGAATTCCTGCGTTTGCGTCTGTTTCACTTTTTGTTACCGAAATAAATACAAGAATTTAGCGACTTGTTTATAAATAAACTGGAATGTTTTTTTTTCTTTCTGTTTAATAGTTTTTTATTTTAGTTGCCTTTTTTATTTTTTTGGGAATTAGCTAAAAACGCCTATGGCCGAAGAGTTTTTGTTGTTTAGCAGGGCGAAATATGGTATTTCCGGTCAAGTTGTTGGATTTGTTTTGGCAATACGAATGCAAATTGCTTTGGACACACTGTGCAGCTGAGAGCAGCACTTGTCAGCACTTTTTCAGCTTCTTCGTCTGCCTCTCCATTTGCTCTGGACGCAAGGGGCTTATACACTTATTAATTATGGGTCTGAGCGAGTTTTTATGATCGCGCATAAATTGCAACTGAACGTTGATCCCAGAGCCAGAACCAGAAGCAAAAGCAGGAGTCCGTGACGTGATAAAAAAAAAAAAAAAAAAAAAA